TTTCAGTGATATAGGTGCTGCAATACCCATCTACAGGTGGTCGACATTGTATCATGCAATGATCAACGACTTCCATGACATGATCGGTACATGAATGGTCGTGTTTCAGTGATATAGGTGCTGCAATACCCATCTACAGGTGGTCGACATTGTATCATGCAATGATCCACCGACAGTCATGACATGATCGGTACATGGATGGTCGTGTTTCAGTGATATAGGTGCTGCAATATCCATCTACTGGTGGTCGACATTTTATCATGCAATGATCCACGACGGTCGTGACATGATCGGTACATGGATGGTCGTGTTTCAGTGATATAAGTGCTGCAATACCCATCCACAGGTGGTCGACATTGTATCATGCAATGATCCACGACGGTCATGACATGATCGGTACATGAATGGTCGTGTTTCAGTGATATAGGTGCTGCAATACCCATCTACAGGTGGTCGACATTGTATCATGCAATGATCCACGACGGTCGTGACATGATCGGTACATGGATGGTCGTGTTTCAGTGATATAGGTGCTGCAATACCCATCTACAGGTGGTCGACATTGTATCATGCAATGATCCACGACGATCGTGACATGATCGGTACATGGATGGTCGTGTTTCAGTGATATAGGTGCTGCAATACCCATCTACAGGTGGTCGACATTGTATCATGCAATGATCAACGACGGCCATGACATGATCGGTACATGAATGGTCGTGTTTCAGTGATATAGGTGCTGCAATACCCATCTACAGGTGGTCGACATTCTATCATGCAATGATCCACCGACAGCCATGACATGATCGGTACATGGATGGTCGTGTTTCAGTGATATAGGTGCTGCAATATCCATCTACAGGTGGTCGACATTGTATCATGCAATGATCCTAGACGGTCGTGACATGATCGGTACATGGATGGTCGTGTTTCAGTGATATAGGTGCTGCAATACCCATCTACAGGTGGTCGACATTGTATCATGCAATGATCCACGACGGTCGTGACACGATCGGTACATGGATGGTCGTGTTTCAGTGATATAGGTGCTGCAATACCCATCTACAGGTGGTCGACATTGTATCATGCAATGATCCACGACGGCCATGACATGATCGGTACATGAATGGTCGTGTTTCAGTGATATAGGTGCTGCAATACCCATCTACAGGTGGTCGACATTGTATCATGCAATGATCTACGACGGTCATGACATGATCGGTACATGAATGGTCGTGTTTCAGTGATATAGGTGCTGCAATATCCATCTACAGGTGGTCGACATTGTATCATGCAATGATCCACGACGATCGTGACATGATCGGTACATGGATGGTCGTGTTTCAGTGATATAGGTGCTGCAATACCCATCTACAGGTGGTCGACATTGTATCATGCAATGATCCACGACGATCGTGACATGATCGGTACATTGATGGTCGTGTTTCAGTGATATAGGTGCTGCAATACCCATCTACAGGTGGTCGACATTGTATCATGCAATGATCAACGACGGCCATGGCATGATCGGTACATGAAAGGTCGTGTTTCAGTGATATAGGTGCCGCAATACCCATCTACAGGTGGTCGACATTGTATCATGCAATGATCCACCGACAGTCATGACATGATCGGTACATGGATGGTCGTGTTTCAGTGATATAGGTGCTGCAATATCCATCTACTGGTGGTCGACATTGTATCATGCAATGATCCACGACGGTCGTGACATGACCGGTACATGGATGGTCGTGTTTCAGTGATATAGGTGCTGCAATACCCATCTACTGGTGGTCGACATTGTATCATGCAATGATCCACGACGGTCATGACATGATCGGTACATGAATGGTCGTGTTTCAGTGATATAGGTGCTGCAATACCCATCTACAGGTGGTCGACATTGTATCATGCAATGATCCACGACGGTCGTGATATGATCGGTACATGAATGGTCGTGTTTCAGTGATATAGGTGCTGCAATACCCATCTACAGGTGGTCGACATTGTATCATGCAATGATCCTAGACGGTCATGACATGATCGGTACATGGATGGTTGTGTTTCAGTGATATAGGTGCTGCAATACCCATCTACAGGTGGTCGACATTGTATCATGCAATGATCCACGACGGTCATGACATGATCGGTACATGAATGGTCGTGTTTCAGTGATATAGGTGCTGCAATACCCATCTACAGGTGGTCGACATTGTATCATGCAATGATCCACGACGGCCATGACATGATCGGTACATGAATGGTCGTGTTTCAGTGATATAGGTGCTGCAATATCCATCTACAGTTGGTCGACATTGTATCATGCAGTGATCCACGACGATCGTGACATGATCGGTACATGGATGGTCGTGTTTCAGTGATATAGGTGCTGCAATACCCATCTACAGGTGGTCGACATTGTATCATGCAATGATCAACGACGGCCATGACATGATCGGTACATGAATGGTCGTGTTTCAGTGATATAGGTGCTGCAATACCCATCTACAGGTGGTCGACATTGTATCATGCATCGGTACATGAATGGTCGTGTTTCAGTGATATGTAAGTATGCATGTGTGTGTGTGTGTGTGTGTGTGTGTGTGTGTGTGTGTGTGGGTGTGGGTGTGGGCATGTGTGTGGTGTGTATGGATGGATGGATGGAAAGATGGATGGATGTGTTTAAGGATTGACACATTTTGTTCGGTTCATTGAGGTATGAATTGAAAAACCAATGTGCAAACTTTTAGCAAATTTTTACAAAAGTTTGCACATCGGTTGTTCGATTCATACGTCAATGAACCGAAAGGAATTCAAAGACAATGCTTATAATTGAATTCGACAACGTAAAACATGTTTTATCTAAACTGGTTTAACTAAAAACAGTTGTATATATCACAACAGACAAAAATGACGAGATTGATAAACATTCCAGGCGCAGGAATACATACTGTGGCGTGACATGAATCATGTGATCGTTTAATTTATGCACATAACTTGACACGCCTACACAGTCAGTGGCCAATCAACCAAGAGCAGAATCAAAACAATGTTCATTGGACCTGTCAATCAAGGCAAGAGGCGAGAAGAACTGCAACAGTCAGACTATAACGAGCCGAAATAAATATGTCCGAGAGAAGGCGACTGTTTCAAATGACATGGTCAGTTATCGGCAGAATCAAACATTAGTTCCCTGAAAACGTGCAAACACAGTTGGAAAAATGCTAGTTATAAATGACACCCGAAGACATGAAAGTTGTGGAACTGAAGCGAGCGGAAAAAAACAGGCGAGCGAGCCTGCACGTTTGCTGTTTCATTCCTTCTCGGCCTTCGGTCTCAAAGGGTAGTTTGGACAATGAATATGCATGAATGTCGCTAAATGTCCAGTGCACGACGATAAACTTGAGCAGAAAGGGAATTCCCTCGACTGTAATATTGGGATTCCCCGACATTCCGCAGTAATAAAAGTAGTGCGAATGTTTACATTCATTGTGTGTGTGTGTGTGTGTGTGTGTGTGTGTGTGTGTGTGTGTGTGTGTGTGTGTCCTGTGAAGATTCAGGGTTAGAATCGGTCTTCATCAACTTGCACGTGATGGCAATCACTGGATTGTCTGGTCCAATCGAATATATACAGACCGCCGTCATATGACTGAGTGCGCGTTAAACAACCAACAAACAGACAAACAAATCAAATACATATACAGATTTTTCTCTTCTACTTATGTTGAGTAAATGTTACTATTATTGCTGCACTTCAATTTTGTTGAATACCTTCCGGTCCGAGTTGAAATATGAACGCAGTGTTAGTCATGAGTGATACCAAATTTATGTAGATACAACAGCAAACCTAGCAAAACAAAATTGACAGTGTGGGGTTATGTATGATCTAAATATGAAACAGATGACGCCGTTTTTAGTTCCTTTCTAGTGCAGGTGGGTAAATCAATTTAGGGGAAATAGCTATTTGACCATCATTGAACGATATCAGGTTATCGATGTACCTGAATCTTGGCAATTAAGCAACAGTTATTGGGGCACATATAATAATTTATGGAGATATTTTACATAAAAAAACACGTGTTCATGGGTGGAGAGATCCTATATATGAGTGAGTGAGTATGGTTTTACGCCACTTTTAGCAATATTCCAGCAATATCACGGCGGGGAACACCAGAAATGGGCTTCACACATTGTACCCATGTCGGGTATCGAACCCGGGTCTTCAGTGTGACGAGCTAACACTTTAACCACTAGGCTACCCGACCGCCCCCTCCTATATATGAAGCTTTATGATAGTTCACATAGTCAAACAATAAATGTATCGCAAGGGTTTATTTAGGGGATTAATCATGGTCATATTTACGCAACTATTAGTATAAACCAACAGTGCCCAGTACGGTATCGACGCACAAAGTCCTCACCATACGATTGATAGATCCGTGTTGGACATTGGTAGAACCAACTGTCACATTTTCCTGGTTTGCCATTGGATGACGAGGTTTTGGATCGTTGATCACCTATCTGGTTCAGATCTGATAATAATACCTGTAGTGGTGCTGTATTTTATTTATAATATCGTGAAAGAGCATATGTATCCTTGGTTACCAAATTTTAAACAAAATACATTTGTGACATAAATCCCTTTTGAATGTTGACATATTAAAAAAATAACTCGGTTTAATATATACTTAGTATATCATTATAATTTAACATTACTGTTTTTCAGGGGTGGCGCAGTCGTCTAAGGCGCCGCAATTCGCTGTGCAGAGTTGCGTCCCTTGGGCACGCCAGAAACCCATGATTGTGGGTTCGAATCCCGGTTCGCCCCGATTATGTTTCTAGGTTTGTCAGCACCATACCCGCGCTCGTGGGTTTCACCGAAGTGGTAAACGTCTGAGACCTGCATCACTTCGGGCTTTAAGCTGACACGCCGTGCCATAACTGGAATCCTGTTAAAGGCGGCGTTAAACCCAACTCACTCACTCACTACTGTTTTTCAGTGAAGCCTGAGCTGTTGCAAAAATCTCACAAGATTGGAGGGGTGACATTTTATACGTCCCTCTGCACCGAATGGCTGAAGGTACCACCCCCATTCTCCCTCCAAGACCTAGATCCACAGAAGATACGTTTCATCAAAGATTCCGTACGGAATCTGCTGGATCTTGAGAGGCAGTTGCAGGATATTTATACGACGGTCGAATTTGGAGCTGAAAATTCTGTTATCCTGAAATGTTGCCTTACCAAAGATGTTCCTGATGCAAAGCATAGAGCTGATTCATGGGAAGTTGATGTTAGAAGGCAGTGTCAACAATTTTTTAGTTCACTTGTCAATGAACAAATATTTGTACCCCTTGAAATTCGGAGCAACGTAATTACAGCCATTGGCGACCTACAAATTCCCAACCCGGATGAAGCAGTTGTACACTCTTATCCTGAGACAGGTCTTATAGTTGTGGTTGGCCACAAGGTCATCACAGAAAAGTTGATGGAAGAGCTGAAAGATATTATTCAAAAAGCACAGAACGCTCATAGGTATAGAACAGAGCAAACCACTCAGACGAAAACAGTAAAGTTGTGGCAGTTGCGTTTACTGAAAAAAGTGAATTTTGACAGCGACATGTCCAGGAAATATCAAAATCTGAAAATTGAGTTTGATTTAAACAAGAAGATAACATTTTCCGGGGTTTTGTGTGACGTGGAATCTGCATGTAAAGATCTGCGGAATACGATGCACATTTTCAGAAATGAACCTTTACCTAATCTGTCTCAGGTACAGCTGATGCTTGTTCAAAAGAGATGCGTTGAACAGTACATTGAGAAGAAACTGGAAAATATCAACGGAATGTTTGAGACAAGAAACAGCGAGGTCAGAGTATACAGTACGTCACAGACTGTATCGAGATATATATCTGATGTATTTACACAGAGTCTCGTCGAGCAGGTCATACGTCTCGACTCTGAAGCTACCCAATTGGTAGAATCTCCGGAATGGAAAAATATATGTGGTGATCTGACTAGGACAGTGGGGGACGTTTTTGAGATCGTCGTAGCGGAAGACAAGTCTCGTATTGTAATAGCTGCCACGGACGCTGTTATTGAAGACGTGACAAAAAAGATGGAAAGGATCATCAAAAACAAAACTGTGTATGAAGACACTGTCAATTTCCCCATAGGAATCCATCGTTTCCTCACAGAGTATATGGGTAGTGAAATAGACAAAGTTGCTAGATCCCTTCAAGGGTATTCTGTAGAAGTTCATAAAGATTCTGAACACTTTTCATTGAAGGGAACTAAAGATGGATTGAAAATTGTGAAGGAAAAACTAATAACTTTTTCCACGTCGATAGTGTCCGATACAACCACGTTCAATAGTCCAGGAATTATCAAATTATTTTTTTCGGAGAAAGGACGTGAACAGATCCGGCAAATTGGGGCAAATGAGAGGTGTGTGATAGAACCCAGATCAGAGTACCCTATGGACATTTCAGAAACTCTCCCAGATCAGCCAGGGAACATGAGGCATGACCAATCAGGACGTTCTCCATGGGACTATTCACCGCCCGAGGTTGGTGTTGAGTCGAGTGCACCCATTGAAATAGTCATCATAGAGGAAGATATTACGACGCAACAGGTATGTTTAACAGGCATGGCTACTGTTTCCACGCGTGTATACGCATGCGTCAGTAATATCTAGTATTTTCATATATCATACCGATATGCTCAATGTTAGAATATGTGTACATCAGGTGGTCTCCTCCCATTAGTAAGACAGCCCAGTTGTGAGACACCTTAGAACAACAATGTCATACCTGGTTGCACATGTTAATCAGGTAATTAACCCCTATCATGAAAATGGACTTGTCTTATTATAGACAAACGAAATGACTCAAGATGCTTGATACGTTCTTTTACTTTATTTTATTCAACATTTTAATTCATCCATCCCTTAAATCAATTGTTTTAAAATATTCGCCACTTAGAGTGCAGTTAAAGTTAATTTCACAGTTCACATCACAGTTCACATCGAGGTTGTCACACTGACACAACCTTAATCCATCTTCAGAAGTTTGCCAAAAGCATCCAAGAACTGGAGTGGTGTCTTGACACCCTGGGATAGCTGATCCTTCAGTCTGGAAAGTCGATTGTCAATCTCCTTGTAAACACGCTGCACCTAGGTCTAACTGAGATAGCTTGGTCTTCTCAGATTTCTCAATCTTCTTGATGATCTCGATGAACCTGTAGAGATTAGGATGACGATGATTCAGTGATGCATTGAGGCGACTGTGGAAACCCTCCAGGTTGTTGTTGGTACTTGGGCCGAATGTCTGGTGATGGTTCCACAGTGAAAGAGGAAATCTGGCTTCATAATCCACCCAGTTTGTGACTATGTAGTCGTTGAATACGTCAGCATTCGGTACATCGGGAGACTGGTTCATGGAGTCAATCCATGCATCCTGAACCTGTTGAAGAGGCAGCAGAGGCAAGGCAGCAGCTCGTCGGATCCACTGTTCCACAAGGGGGTTATCTCTGTATCCAACAGCAAGACCAAGCTCCTGTGTCTTCCGCCAAATCGCCTGGGTAAAGTGGAAGAAACACCCCTTGATGTCTGAACCTTGAAACTCTGTCCGGAGGGCTCTAATGGCAGCAACTTCAAAGTCCACCTGGAATGTCTCTGGGTTGAATGGTTGGTTCAGTAGATGTTGGATGTGGACCCTTAACTGAGCAAAGAGGCATTGGTAAGTTGTAGTCCGACGATCAGGCATCAATGCGTAGACTAGGGGATAGGTAATGCTTCCTTTCCGTGCATGCAGTATGTAAAGCTGATTCCAAAGATCTGGGCAGGCGGAGAAAGTACCATCCATGTAGACAATGGAAGCTGACTGGAGGACTCTAAGCTGATCATCAGTTGCAAATACCAGCATCTTGTCTTCTTCACCGTCGGCAAAAAGCAGAAACCGCTCACCATCATGGGTCTCTCTCCAGGGTGCTGCAATGTCGACTTCAGCTCTGGTTTTAGGGAGTTTCGGGATGGTGTGTGCGGTGACTGTACATGGCGCTGCCGACTGAGCTGAAGGAGGGAAATATAGCTGCGGCCTCCGGATCATGTCTCAAGACCTCGTCGTTGTAGAGGGCTGGCATAGGAGTGGTTGGTTCTTCTCTTGCTCTCTTCCTTAAGCTGCCAAGGAACTGGATTCTGCTGGTGTCTTCTGGTCGGTGGTTGTGTACAGTGACATTTCTGACAAAATGTCCAACTGTTGTACATTTGCCAATGCAGGTCTTAACGGTACATCGCCAGTGAGTACCAGTTTGCCTTACTTTGTTCTTGTAGTGGAGATATCCCTGAAAGGGGACCTGGGGAGTACCTCTTTTACTGGTAATAAACTCAACGTGCTGCAAACCTGCCATGATTGTGCATGTTCACAGACTAGAGGGAATTTATATGTGTAATAAATAAGTTTTAACAAAACATGCATCTCAACTTTTTGAGTAAGCTCCTACTAGCTCCTAACTCATTTATTTCCTGAGAATATTCAAACAGAATTACTGGCCTACTCTTATTAATTAATCTGCTAATCATGGGCTGTGACCATTGATAAGTGGGTAGACTGGCTGTGTTTGTTTAATTAATCCCACCTACTCCACTGTCTTACAATGGGTGTCTCACTAATGGGATGTCTTACTAATGGGATGTAACCCATCAGGTACACTGCAGATACATTGGTACTAGAGCCATGTATGTTTGTAGGGTATTGATTCAAAATGTCGAAGAGGACTTGTGATATCGATATATACATTTTAATTTTGACAATAGACTGACGTCATAGTGAACAGCGCGTCACCCGATCTTCAACTTAGGAACGGCTCTCTATCCAAGTCCATCCTTGAGGCTGCTGGAGTGGAAATGCAGCACGAATGTGAGGACAGGTACCCTACAGGGATTCCAGCCGGACAATTTGCCATCACTGGAGGGGGAAAACTCTGGTGTCAACACGTATACCACGCTTGTCTCCCAGCATGGAAGGACGGGACGCAGTGTTGCAGGGTATACGACACATTTTAATTCCTGAAAATAATAATGTTTTGGTGCCTGATATTTTTGCGCTGTATGTATGTACATGTATACGGATTACGCTATTGTACGCATATTTATGACATCCCTAGTGGCGATATAACACATTGAAGTTCGAATTACAAATACGATTTCACATTGATTGAACTTTTCCTTGATGTATATAGAGGCAAACATGTTTCACAACTGAGTAGTAAATATCTTGGTTAGTGAACGAATGGTATGACTCTATATTATCGCGGTGTCGGTAAATCTCGTAAACCACACCCCCTGACTGCTGTTTACTTATGCAAATCTAAGCACAATACTTCATCGCTTGGTCGAATACAGGACTCGTTGCGGTCTGTCTCGGCCACTCGTAAGTGTACACGTTACCATTTTTATGATAGTTCCTGGAATTTTTTTGACGTGGACTTACTCCGACCTCCATTCGAAATTGGATAGAAAAGTACCCATTTACTTAGACGAGGTCCCTTGACCAAACCTAGGTCGTATGCATACTGATTATGATAATCCAAACCAGGAAGTGATGTGAACCATATAATCCACACGTATCACACCACAACATAGCTATATATATATATATATATACAGTAAACTACGGTTATAACGAACACGCTTATAACGAACTGACGGATATAACGAACTTACTTTTTTAGTCCCGACTATTTGCTGTGGTTATGCTGTATATATGCTTACAACGAACTACGGTTATAACGAAATAAAATTAGTAGTCCCTATGAGTTCGTTATAACCGTAGTTTACTTTAAAATGGGGTTGCCCGCCCGTGAGTCGCAAATGGCAGGTACTTTGTTTACCAGTATCGAATCAGCATCGATCAATCCTAATTGATGTGTCACAAAAGTTGAACACAGAACAAGAAACACTTTGCATATGACATGTTCAGTAGGTTAGTAAGCGTACACCATTGCGATCCATTATTAACTAACTACCGTACAATATAGCGTACCATCCTACCTGCCGAAAGTTACGCTTTGATAATATGTACACATGTATCTTCCCGAGGAAAGAGCGGTCACTAGCCTTTTTATCAAAGTCTTGTTTCCACCCCTGCTACATCAAGCCCACTTTCCTGTGCAAAATATGATTGGACTATTGCACATGTCGATAGTCCAATCAGAGAACGTTTCACAAATTCAACATCCCCAACTGGTAAACCATCGTATGAAAGTGATTTATCTCTGCCGAAATGTGGTACTTTGGGGTACAGACGTATGTTTCATATGATAGGACAAAGTTTCTCTTAAATATCTAATTGTTCCCACCTAAATGGATTTGTGACCATTTATATTTTGGACAATTATGATTAGGTTCTCCAGGAAGTGATCTCAGATTGCCTCCAAGAAGCTTCACAGGAAGGACACAAGACCATTGCTTTTCCAGCTCTCGGTACTGGTAACCTTGGATACCCAAATGCTATGGTTGCCGAAACCATGATGGCGACTGTTGAACGGTTTAGCCAAGGCAATCCAGATTCATCTCTGGAGGAAGTGAAGATCGTCGTATTTAACGACACTTCAATATTTAAGGTAAGTTTGTAAATATCTGTTATTTACCATCTACCTGCCTACAACTAACTAAAACAATGTTGGTAAACCGACGGAGGATATGGATAAAGTTCTGTTTATATTCGTATGGTCATATTTGCACTGCGTTGAACAACTACCAGAACAAACTTCAACTTTGTAAAACAAATCGGTTTCTTCATTCATTCATTCTTTGTTACACACCACAAATCACTCAAAGCTTCGGTGAATAACTACAATATAATAACATAATTGTGAGGGATTTAAATTTATTTGCCTTCCTTAATCTATAGCTACTACAGATCTTCCAACGACAGAAAAAGAAGACCGACGAAGAAAAGATGAAGATTACAGCCGTAAAAACCCGTAAAAACAGGATCTTTGGTAAATACAAGAATTAACCACCTTTGTTCATACATAAAGCTCCACTCCTGGTTCATGCTCCCTATTGTACTATAAGCAACTTCCCATCATTGTTTATTTCTTTATTATAGTTAATATAAATATTTCCAGAAAATATAACTAAATGATTTCACCCAATCCTATCCTACTTCAGATATTGATGCTATGGAAGGAGCTACAGTCGAGGCAACTGAGGAATACAGAATCCGGCCTGCAAACAAGGTTTTTCTGCATATGTTCTCAGATGACATCAGGCACGTGGAAAAAGCTTTCAGCCTGTTAGAAACGTTTGTTAATGAAGCAATTACAACAAAAAATATTTCAGATGACCAGCTGAAAAATGCGAATCCACGACAGGTAAACTATATGAACCAAATACTACTAATACTCCTACATATATCACACTACAATGGGGGCGGTCGGGTAGCCTAGTGGTTAAAGCGTTCGTTCGTCACGTCGAAGACCCGGGTTCAATGGGTCCAATGTGGGAAGCCTATTTCTGGGGTCTCCGGCCGTGATACCGCTGGAATATATTCTAAAAGCGGCGAAAAACCATTCTCACCTCTGTGTGGTCTCATTAACATTTAAATGTATAGTCCATATGCATAACTTAGGGGATATTTAACTCAAACAAACACATGCTTGTACCACGCAATGAAAAATCAATTTCATGTTTCGCTTAACTGGCATTTCTTAACCATATGTAATACTATACAGTGTGGATAGGACGATGGCCTCAGAACAAGAGAAATCCTTTCTGTATGCAGTTTGGTTGTCTTTGTTTTATTATTTTGTATTTGTCTGTATGTTGCAGCAGGATAAAATTCGGAAACTAAGTTCAAAGCACTGTATTTCCGTTGACTACAACCACATGTTTGGTAAAGTTGAACTACAGGGTCTAACATCTGACGTGATGGCAGCCACGGACGCAGTCCACACCATTGTGAAGGCAATCCTTCTGCAACAAAAACAGGATGAGAAGGCAAAACTAATCTCGTCATACGCGAGGTGGGGATACACTGACCTATCAGGCGCAGGTGCGACTCAAGATTATGATGTAATCATCAACCAAAAGATTGAAGATGCTCATGTGAACGAGAAGCCGACTCTCTGCCTACCAGTCATCGATGGCAAGGTGTATGTTCTTGATTTGAAGAAAATGGAGGAATATGATCTGTATAATCGTGCAGATAGAGTTCGTGTCATCAGAAAAGATTTAAGCAAAGGTAAGAGGTATCAGTAATATATACATACTTCAGCTTGCCATTGAAATTGTCTTTGATTTGAAACTATTTGTTTTTCACATCTGAACCAGACAGTATGTTGATACGCGACCAACAGGACGACTGACTGCAGTTCATCTGACAATAAAAAAACAAATAGTGGTTATTAGTAGATATATGTCCATCACGCACACTTTAATTGAATTCACAGGTTCAGCATTTGATGCACCTTCGCACTGGTGTCCAATGCACACAGAAAGTGAACAGTTTGAAGTCAACAAAGAAACCACCGAATATACCAAAGTAGAGAAGACATTTATTGGCAGTGTCGGAAGAAAAAGATCTATCCTTAAGGTACTGATTATAATTAAATAATGCATCTGTTCCTCAACTTGGAAGGTGCTTTACACTCTTAATAAAATTCCATTCATTGGTTAATTCATTTGTTCTGCTGTGTGGTGAGGTGAGGTGAAATAGGGTTTAACGTCGCGTCCAAGATTATTGCACTTATATAGCGACGTGCATGCACTTGTATGTGTGTGTATGTGGCTGCTTGTACTAGTCCGGACTAATGCCGATTTATAGTGCTAGCTCACTGAGATACAATGCCGCAGTTTAACATGAATACCCCACTCAGACACAGTATACTGACTCCGAGTCGTCCTTGTTTTAGCCCCTTAATGCCGAGCGCCAGATAGGGTAACAACAAGTACCATCCTTTAACGTCTTTTGGTATGACGCGGTCGGGGATCGAACCCCGGACCTTCCGCTCTCCGGGCGGACGCTCTACCATTAGACCACGGACGCGGTCTCTGCTGTGTGGCGTCAGGCAATAAATACTTACTTTTTATGCAAACTGTGTAAATAGCTGGTTCTACTGGTGGGACAGGACATTTGTATACTTTTTGCGAACACCTGGTGTCGACACTGATTTTCAGTGGTCCATTCATATAGTTTTCACAGCCCTTTCCCTTTGCACGAAACGGACTGGTTATTCTCTTGCATTGATAATTTTATATTCAGTATAAATACCAGTAAACAGGCCGGGGAAAACTTATTTTATCACCCATGTTTTTCGTCATTAACGAGTTAAGATAAAGCCACCGATGCAAACATGTAACACAAAGTTCATTCACCGAATATCATTGTTGCCGTTGGTAACAGATGGAGTATAGTCCACGTGTCTTGTGAAATATCATGTCTCTCTCATCGAGTCTCTCTCATTTTCACCCGTCACAAGAATATCCTATTCATTGTATACTTTTTGTGTAGTTCTCGTCTGGGAAATTAAATATTTCATGACAAATGTTAACCTTGAAATGTAAATTCTGCCTGCCTGACACACAGAGACGGTTCACCACCCCTTGACTTAAGAGGTAGTTTTGTGTTATATACTAGCCACATAAAGAAACTGCACGGAGAAAATATAGATATAAGGGCACACCGTCCATATATGAAATATAGGTTTGAACACAGCAATTATTGGAGACATTCAAACGCTCATGCACGTGCCATGCGATATGACGTCATTGATGGGGGCCTATGGACGTGCAATGTGTTACTGCACGTGCATCCTGTGCAGCTGTACACAGCATATGCAACTCAAAATTCGCTGTTACTTTGGAAAGCATGATATGTGGTCATTCAAAAATTCAAAACTTCTCAGGCGCAGACACAAGCATACCACAAGCAAATCAGGCCAAGATTGACAGTTGCACAGCGTCAAGAAGCCATTGGAATGATCCGAGCGGCAACGAGGCAACAACAGGTGGCAACACATTTCCAATGCCATCGTAACACGATATCGGCATTGGTGAGGCGTTATCAGAACACAAATGACGTTGCCGACCACCCACGTTCAGGACGTCCCCGAGTTACGACGCCAAGACAGGACAGATGGATTCGAGTTACACATCTCCGACACAGGTTCCAAACGGCAGTAACGACGTCCCAGACAATTCCTGGACTGCGCCGTATCCCTCCCAACACTGTCAGGAATCGTTTACGTCAGTACGGGATTCGACCACGACGCCCTGCCATACGTCCCATCCTGACACACCGTCATCGAGTCAACCGTCTAAGATGGTGTCGAAATCATGTTCGCCAACCTCGAATATGGTGGAGAAATGTTGTCTTTACAGAAAAATCGAGGTTCAACATTTCCCACAGTGACGGGCGCCAACGTGTCTACCGGCGTTTGGGGGAACGTTATGCACGCAACTGTATTGTGGAGAGTAATAGTTTTGGAGGTGGCTCTGTGATGATTTGGGGTGGGATAACAGCACGGCACCGAACCCCTTTAGTGGTTGTTCAGGGCAGTCTCACCGGTGTCGGCTACAGAGTTCAGATTCTGAGGCCTGTGGTCATTCCTTTCCTGCAACGTCATGGCCCGGGATTGACATTTCAACAGGACAACGCTCGTCCTCACACGCTTGGCCTGCAAATTTTCCAGATCTCTCCCCAATAGAGCATGTGTTGGATGAAATGGAGCGCCGTCTGCGTCGTCTTCCACATCTTCCAGATAACGTCCGTGACTTGGCACAGAATTTGAGGAGGATATGGCAGGCCATTCCCCAGGCCTTCCATGCCCATTTGATGGACTCCATGCGTCGCCGATGCACTGCTGTGATTCACGTACAGGGTGGTCATACCCGTTATTGACTTTGTGAATTTGTCGTTTGACCCCCTACTCCATTTTGATCTTCTGACGTCATCGCAACAGATGTTTTTCAGGTACCGTTGGCATTTTCTTATGGTCTGCATCATTTTGTTCTTGCTGTGTTGTATTTCAATCCAGAATATATTTTCTCCGTGGCTAAATAATTTGTAGGGTCACGAAAATTCTTTATCCTACATTTAGATATGATATTATACAAAATCAACTTTAACAAAAAATATTCCTGAAAACTACGAGACGAATTCAAGCTGATCAACTAACAAAAATGGTGCTTTGCGAAATCAACATTCTCGATTGACGAGTTAATGATAAATTTACAGTTTATAAGGAACCATTTTTAAGAGAATAACAAACGACAAGAAACGTTATTAACTCCATAAATGATCATCTGTCAATATTTTGACAGTCAATGTGGAACTAACGTAAAAAGGACGTCAACGGTTTGTTCGGGATGGACACTAGAAAGGGGAGACAGTTGAACGCGTTAAACACCCTTCATATTCTCCAGATTTGGCACCGTCAGATTTTTATCTCCTCCCAAACGGTGACACATGCAAATAGTGATGACGTCGTTCCTGCTGTGTTTTACACAACCACAAAGAAGCCTTCTACACCAGTGGGATCCAGCATCGTTGGCAGAAATGTGTTGACCTTCAAGGGGAGTATGTTGAACAATAATTGTCCACCAACTCTACCAACGCTTCACCATAGTTAGGATAAGACCTTTTCAGCTGCCCCTCGTAATAAAAAGCTTACATTTGGGGCGTTTCGTATTTGTACTTTTTGTCAAAGTTCAATTATCACATCTTTTCAGATAGAGCGGGTTCAGACTCAATCGCTATGGCGACAATATGCAGCAATGAAGCAGCGGCTAGAAAAACAGAATCCAGGACACAACAATGAAAAGGTCCTTTGGCACGGTACAAGCATGGACGGCGTACCATATATAGCAAAGAATGGTTTTAATCGGAGCTACTGTGGAAAAAATGGTAACTTCGTGTTATTACTGATATATGTACGGCCTTGTTCCTCGGCTTGTGCGGACTCCTGGTTCGAACCCTGTGCTTATCGTAGGAGGTGACATAATGGATCGGGTTGTTGGTGACCTGGGTGATAGTGTTTCAATGTACTCCAAAGGCGTGGGTCATGATATGGATCATCTTCCCGAGGCAAGAGAGTTAACTTACTTTAAAAGTCCAGTTTCCACCCTTGCCGAACTAGGCTGGAATACCTGGGCTCGATCGTAGCGCCACCAGTGGCTATTACGAGTTATGTCCTGTCTATGCCTCTCCTATTGACCAATCAGATTCAACCTCTCGTATCACTTGCATTTGCTTCAAACAAAACGGTGGCGCCCAGTCAAGACGATCTGATTGATAATCAAGATCTATATTGTGATAAAACGAGTCTTACATCGCGAAGTGCATCAAATCACGTGAGTACCTTGATTAAAAGCATGAAAAGATTTAGAAAATATCTGTTGACAACGAGTTAGCGGTGCACATGCTTTGCAAATCCTGCAGTCGACCGAAATCTGCATGACTATTTACGAACCGGATTTCGATTTCGGTGCGCGATTTTGATTGGACTATGCATAGACTCGTTAGTCCAGCCAAAATGTAACTCCATAATACCAGCCTAGTTCGGCAAGGGTGGAAACTGGACTTTTATAGTCAGTTAACTCGCTTGCCTCGGGAAGATGGATATGGATAGCTGAGATCATGAATTATGAAGTATCATCGGACCAGATAGACAATGTTTTCCATTAGAGATAGAACTTCATTTCATTTTGAAATATAAGAATTATGAGCTAAGAATGAAAAAACTAGTGCTCACTGATCCATTGACTGGGGTGATAATGTAAGCGTCATGAGCACACGAGCCAGTATGGAGTTTGGCGCCATACAAATGGTCTCATTATTATTATTACTTTTTGTTTGAACGTACGTCTTTAATTTCAAGTAAGCTAAATAATTTGCAGGATTTTGTCGCTGTCATTACATTTAATAAATTATCATTTATGTTTTTTCACACATTTTCAGCGACCGCTTATGGAAAGGGCGTGTACTTTGCTGTCGATGCTTCTTACTCTGACATGGACCAGTATGCTGAACCAGACGGGCAGGGTCACAAACAAATGTTCCTGGCCCGGGTCCTCACGGGGATGTACTGTAAAGGGGCTGAACAAATGAAAGTTCCACCGACAAGAGATTCAAAGAATCAAATATTATATGACTCTGTGGTGAACAAAGTCGACGATCCTGGCATGTTCATCATTTTCAATGACACCCAAGCATATCCAGAATATCTTATCACCTATCGGTGATACCTAAGACTATCCAGAATATTACCCATCAGTGATACCCATCTTGTCACCTATCAATGATGGCCAAACGTATCTAATTTAGGGTATCACTCATCAGTAGCTTGTCCTTACATCAGTGCCCTCTTCCAGTTGGGGGCACGTGTGGCCGAGTCGTCTAAAGCGCCGCGATTCGCTGTGCAGAGTTGCGTCCCTTGGACGCGCCAGAAACCTATGATTGTGGATTCGAATCCCGGTTCGCCCCGATTATGTTTCTAGGTTTGTCAGCACCATACCCGTGCTCTTGGGTTTCACCAAAGTGGTGAACGTCTGAGACCTGCATCACTTTTGGCTTTCCTCCCACATTCAGCTGACACGCCGTGATATAACTGGAATACTGTTAAAAGCGGCGTTAAACCCAACTCACTCACTCACTCTTTTCCAGTGGGGCAGGATACGCTCATCTTTTCGCGAACAACTGGTATCATCATTATGTGATAGTGAATCTTAAAGATATTGCCCTGAAATCGTTGAAATCGTACAATGAACTCTGCTTTGAGGAGGGGAAACGTATGATCCATTCATTTAGTTTCCTCCACTAGTTTACACTTTGGGCCCAATGGAATCTGTTATTCTGGTTATTCTCTGTTGTTGATGTTTTATATTCCATATTATGAAACAAAAAGCATTCCTTCACTGCAGCATCGTAGGAGCTGTTATTTTGTTAGTGGTATTGGTAAAAGATGTGAAAACCGAACATGTAAATTGTGAAGCAAACACCTTTAAGTAACATATGTAAGCCGAGTAAGAGTCTATCTTTTACTCTTACTGCGAATTGCATTGGTCTTGAATTTATATACCCCACCCGTCCGTATGGTTTAGAATAGGTCCCAAGCACTAAATTGCAAGCTAATGGGCAAGCTTTGTACTGTGGCTCTTTTTGCGTGTCATCGTGTTCCGATGGCGTGGATCATATTCAAGCAATGTTTATTTGCGTGTCATCGTGTTCCGATGGCGTGGATCATATTCAAGCAATGTTTATTTGCGTGTCATCGTGCTCCGGTGGCGTGGATCATATTCAAGCAATGTTTAGAGTAGATGCTGCAGGGCTATAGCATTTGTTGCACGAGAAATATGGCTTGATTCGTTGGTTGAATTCGAGCATGATGGGGAACGTAGCTACACAAACTCATGAAGTACTGACGATGACCAATAGATGATTTGGCCCTGGTTGAACAGTGGGTGATGAACAAGAATCCACTATAAATTAACACTCACACAGATCACCCATTGTAACCATCCAGTCACCCTCTATCGGGACTTAGTCATTCGGTACTGGAGACTACACGCCATATACACGAGTGCTAAAAATCAACAGTTTTCCTTGCTTTGAACTCCTTTAGTGACTTTCCATTACTGCGTTCATCCCTTACTGCAAATGGTTCTAATGCCTCCAACAGGTTCTGTCATACAATCTGTTTCATGTGTGTACCATGTTTCATTTTAAGCCAGAAGGAAGTTTGTACACTTGAAGCAAAAGGTGCATGTGCAACATGACTACAAGGTTTACAAACTGCACGTCGTATTGCAGGGGCAGGTTTTTTTCAAGAACAACTGGCATCATAACTATTTGATAGTTATAAACACGTGCTTATAATATAGCCGAAATAATACAGTGGACGTTTAGAAGCAATATCTAATGTGTAATTGAGTGAGTGAGTGAGTTAAAATTTTACATTGCATCGGCAGTATTGCAGCCATATCGCGATGAGAACAAGGTAGTTTCTACAATTAAAGACCTGTCGACAAAGGACAGTAAAACAGTAAGGTACATATCACAGTTTAGATATAAAACAAACCTAAGCAATAATAAAACAAAGAATTTTTTTAGCAGATTATTTCCTATAAATTAAAACCAGGCTATAGACCACTAGCAACCAAAGCTAGACCACCGTATGTTGGATCGGGTGGGCAAGCTTTGTACTGTGGCTCTTTTTGCGTGTCATCGTGTTCCGATGGCGTGGATCATATTCAAGCAATGTTTATTTGCGTGTCATCGTGTTCCGATGGCGTGGATCATATTCAAGCAATGTTTATTTGCGTGTCATCGTGCTCCGGTGGCGTGGATCATATTCAAGCAATGTTTAGAGTAGATGCTGCAGGGCTATAGCATTTGTTGCACGAGAAATATGGTCGATCCGGACCGTGGCACAAGGTAGTTTCTACAATTAAAGACCTGTCGACAAAGGACAGTAAAACAGTAAGGTACATATCACAGTTTAGATATAAAACAAACCTAAGCAATAATAAAACCAAGAATTTTTTTAGCAGATTATTTCCTATAAATTAAAACCAGGCTATAGACCACTAGCAACCAAAGCTAGACCACCTAACTGGGAATCATGGGGACTTACAGTGCTTTAGCTTCCTGCATGATTCCCGGCAGGAGTTATGCCATCACTTTGGTCACGAGTTGTTGTGTGAATTGCTAACCAATTTTAAAAAATATACGCACAATCAATACATTAAAACACTAGTTGATATTAAACACTTCAACAAAGATGGATTTACGTGCCACTGTCAGGGGGACAATAATTTTAAACTACTTTAACCCCCTGTGTGGCACAGCCTTCAATAATCTCAGTTGTTAATAATATCACACTAAATTAAAACAATTCAAAATCAAAATTTATCAAATAATTCGATTTCTTTTAAAAAATTGAGAATTAAACGAGCATTTATATTTGTAAAAAGATCCTTTAACGAAGTTGAATGATAATAGGTATCCCTTGTGAGTGAAAAGTCTATACAGTTAAGCAATATACTCTTATGTGTAAGGAAAGGGTATACATTTATTTTGAAATTCGGCATGTTTTTCGGGACCTGTCAGGCCCATATGCAAATGTTCTATATGTAAATATGATATTGATCAAGCCTGTAATATCTCTTACGTATTAAGCATTTTATGCTAAATAAGATTTCTTATTTGTATTGTATTATCAACTCTTGTTTTCTTCTTAATCTCTTAATCTGTTTGTCGGTATAATAGATTTTAAGAATTACAGTGACCTTTGTATTGCTTTGCCGCCGCTTAATAAAGTTTCTTGTATCTTGTATCTTCAACTTTCCCTATACACAAGCCTCTTTAATGGGGAGATTGGACTTGGGATATACTGGAGCAATGTAACCTGCTGATCGTAATTCATTGTATCCTGAAGTCGTGGATCGCTGCTCATTCTATCATTCAATCAACCGCTGGTTCACAAGGCGTAGACTCTGTTATTTACATATTTCCTTGATTAAGAATGCCTTTGTGAGTTGATTGGATTATGATTCTTCACAGAGGGAGGGCCAAACTGTATGAAGGTCGGAGCTTGCGACAACAACTGGCTCTCACTCTATGAAGGTTCATACTCACATCAACTCACTCAGAGTGAAAAGCAATTCTTAAATCAAGGAAATATGTAAATAACAGAGTCTCCGTCTTGTGAACCAGTGGTTGATTGAATCACAGTGAAAGGCAATTCTTATGATTCTTATATCACTACTTTTACCTCGAAAGATGTAGATCTAAATCCTTACAAAATTGTATTCAGTGCGTGTTATTTTACGTTTACACTGTCAGTCAATGAAGTATCGCAGAATAAAGTAGTTCCTCAAAAGGAGAGGCGACATGAGAGGCGTATGCTTACATTGTTCTACAGTGACATACATGTATTTTGTATAGTGTTCACAGCATATATATTCAGATAATATCACCATTAGATGCGGAAGGTATGTTAAGAACTACCTCAGTTTTTCAGTCACCAGTGGCGATGACAAGTGTTAGTCGTCATTAATCAGTTGGCCGATGATTGAAAGGTGTTTGTAAAGATGTGTCAAATAGTCTGGTAAAATTCATCGATTGCTGTCGACTGTATATGTCTGTCTAGACACGGATCGAGTCGATACTACGTTTTGTACACTAGGATTGGTCGTAGCAGGGATATTTGTGATTTGCCAAACTTTCCGATTTTTCCCAATGTCTGCTTAAAAGCTGAGTTCAAGATTAAAGGGTCTAAATAATCTGAAATAACGCTTCTATAGTAAGTATTCGTACTAGGGAATTCACAGGGGTTTCTTAAGTAAAGTAGAAGCAGTGCGCCAGCGTTTACTTCCAGTGATTGACATCATGAGCATCGATCCACGCAATTTGGATCGATGACATGCATCAACCGAGTCAGCAGGTCTGATGCTGTATATGGATCTATTCCAAAAAAAATTTTATTTATCATTTACCATGACGCCCTCTACATATTCCGGGTCGTACCATGGATGGACCTCTGTGTCAAAACCACAAGCATGGCGAAAACAGTAATAAAATGATCGAGCCACTCCATCATGTCGCTTAAGATACTGGGTTTGTGCCAAAGCTGGGCATCCACTGACAATGAGTTGGACAGTCTCACTAAATTAATTGCATAATCTACATATTTTCTACGTATTTTCAACACAGTCATGTTTAAAATAAAACAATAAAAATTCAAACAGTTAAAAGGTGATCAGTATGACTTGTAGTATATGTTGATTGATTTTCGATATGGGTAATTAACGATAACAAATTAACATGAAATATATATCATTTATAATGTAGCTAAAGGTATGTGCACGAGTGAAAACTATAATTTGTCATTAACTAAAGAATATGTTCAACACCTTATGCAGCATATTGTTTTGAAATGTCTTGCCTGAAGACCTCGTTCCTTATTTCATAATTTTATTCATTTCCACACAGTACTGTACACAACATTTATCTATTTTACAGGTATACGACAGCTAAACGGGCAAGTATAATGGTAAACACAAACACAAACTTTTGTTTGTTTAACATTTGTGTGTCTGGTAAAACGTGTGTTTTTTAAGGGAAATATATATAGTTTTCTGTTCAGGTAACTGATTTTTTACTATTGCTTCCTGAAGAAAATGTTTAAAACCACATTACCTGACCTCCTGCTGAAATGTGTGGCCCGGTAATAACAAATATACATGTCAGAGAAAACCCAGACTAACTGCGCCTATGTGCTTCTAGCGCGTTGGCCAGTTGTGGGAGTGTCTGCGGCGTGTTCTGACATTGATGTACACGTCAATCGAGTTCATCCCAGAGGTGATTGGGT